ACCCAAAGGGCAGTATGAAAGAATCTTGGAAAACAGATAACAGGTGAGTGCTACAGAATCCTGAGAGCAAACGTTTCTCCCGGCACCAATTGTTTAATAACCTAAACTGGAGCAAGAGAAAACAGTTATCGGAAGAACACGCAGGAGGAAGGAGCACCGATTTGGGGTAGCACTCACTATTGCCCCACTGACCTCGAACCTGACCTTCCCCAAACACGGTGATTTGGCCAAAGGGCTTCTTCTGGAGGCCGGGTCTGCCGGCCGCCCAGGCAGCGCCTGGGATTGGGAGCGCGGGCCCCGCGGACCACCACCCCGGCCGCCTCGCCCCGCCCCGTTCGCCTCGCCCCGCCCCGCCCGGGGCGCGGACTACAGCTCCCGGCATGCCCGGCGCGCGGTACCTGCCCGCCCCCAGCCGCCGCGCCCGGAGGATGCAGACGCCGGGGCGAGCGGGGAGGATGGAGGCCGGGGAGGCAGCGCCGCCGGCGGGGGCGGGCGGCCGCGCGCCGGGCGGCTGGGGCAAGTGGGTGCGGCTCAACGTGGGGGGCACGGTGTTCCTGACCACCCGGCAGACGCTGTGCCGGGAGCAGAAGTCCTTCCTCAGCCGCCTGTGCCAGGGGGAAGAGCTGCAGTCGGATCGGGTGAGGCCCGCGCGGGGGGCGGCCGTCGGGCGGGGTCCTCTGCCCGCCCGAATCCGGGCCGGCCTGGCCGGGAGCTCGGCTGCTTTGATTTCCCCAGGGCCCGAGGCGGGAAGAGCTGGTCGGAGGAAGGGAGGAGGGAGAGCGCGGGACGTGCCCACTGTCGTGGCAACGGGACAACGCCGGGCCGCGGCCATTTAGGGCATTCGGACCACCGCCCTGGGCTCCCACCCCAGGAGGCTGGTGGATCGGGACCCTCGCCCTCCTTTGGGGCCTTCCCTCCTTCCCAAACGGGACTCCCGCACCGGGGAAGGAGTTGGCTGCGGTGGCTTCCCCACGGCCCTTTGCGGTGTGGGTGGCCTAGGAGTGCTGCGCGCTGGGTAGAGAAGTCCTGGGGTGCCTTCCGAGCTGGGTTTCATCAGGGAGGAGCCCGGGCCTGTCGGCCACCATTTCTGGGCTCCCATCCCTGCTCTGCTGCAAACTGCCTGCATGACCTTGGGTCGGACCCCTCCCTCCCTGCTCCAGGATCAGCCTCCTCCTGTCTGTAACCAGAGGAGGCTGGTCCGCAGGTGACCTGAAGGGCCCCCTCTCCCTCATCCCCTGACCCTCTGATGCTGTGACCTTGGGCAAGTCTCCTCACCCTTTGACGTGCCTGCTTTCTCTCCGTAGAGTTGTCCAGATGCCCGCCCTGCCTCCCTGCGGGCCGAGCCTGTCCAATGAGATAGCGACTCCTTTGGAAACTTGTAAACATCCAGCATCCCCAGAATGACTGGGGATCTGATGGAGATAGTGTAGGGCTGGCTTCAGGGGAACAACCTCTAAGAGGGACAATCACCGAGCCCTACTCTGCGGCAGGTGCCGCTCAGAACTCACCGGATGCTCACCATGACCCCTGGTTATGGGGGAGCGGAGTGAGGCTCAGAGAGGCCCAGTCACTGGCCCCAGGTCACATAGTGAGGAAATGGCAGAAGCAGGACTTGAACCTACGCGGGTCTGACAGCGAAGCCTTTCTGTCCCATCATGCCACTTCATTCCAGTGAAGAGCAGACTCAGCGCTCGCTCCCTCCCTCCAACCATTGCTGGGCCTGAAGTAAGGGGGTGGGTTGGGGGAGGCCTCTCCTCTCACTGCCTGTGCCCCTTATCTCCTTAGGATGAGACTGGGGCCTACCTCATTGACCGTGACCCCACCTACTTTGGGCCCATCCTGAACTTCCTCCGGCATGGCAAGCTGGTGCTGGACAAGGACATGGCCGAGGAGGGTGAGTTGGTCCAGGGGGCTAGCCGGGGGACTGCATCCTACCTAGCCCTGCCCTCTGCAGTCGGCCAGAGCCTTCCGTGGAAGTCCAGAGCCATTTCTCCCAGTCAGGGCTGGGGGGACATTTGATTCCTTCCATGTTTCCCACTACCTCGTCCCTGACAAGACTGAATCGCAAAGCCTCTGCCTGGACTGAGCCTGGGGGCTGCACCAAGCTGACCAGCCTGAGCTTTGGCCGAGCGCTGTAGGGGAGGTGACGGAGGCGGAGAGGCAGAAGACAGAGGGCGACAGTGAGGCCGGCAGTGTGTGTTGTGGGCAGGGATGCCCTTTCTCCTGACCTCCTGGGAAGGCAGGTGTGAATAGGGTGGAGACAGGCACGGGAGGAGGCATGGGCTCTCTTTCTGCGGGTGATCCGGTATCTGAGATGCCTGGCAAGGGCTGACAGTCAGCAGGCGGGTGGAGCAGGTGACTCTTCTGCAAATCCAGCGGCCTCTGTGGCACAGCCGGTTGTGGGTGGAGGTGGGGGAGGGGGAGCCGGTTCCCCAGCAGGGGTTTGGTTCTTCCGGGGGGGCCTAGGGCTGAGGCCCTGTAGATGCCCATGTCTGGCTCCAGTAGATGGCGGGGAAGCCATGCCCGAGAGAATATCCTCTTGGCAAAGCCTCAGCCGGGGGGCAACAACTATAAACAGCTCCAAGTCAACTCTTCCTTGGGGCACAAGGCATGGCTCCGGGTCAGCTGACGCAGCCGGGCCAGCTTGGACATGTCACTTCTCCTTTCTGAGCCTCCACATGTCTATATCAATTAGGGGCGGCGATCTACATCGGGGAGAGCATGTTTGGGGACAGCAGGTGTCATGCATCCCAGTGTTTGTACACTGTGGGGGTTTAGAACAGCCCATCCTTCCTCACGCGGGGCCATCGGTCTCCCCCGCTGACCCCCGTGGGACATGGTGATCTAAAGGCCACGTAGCTCCCCAGTGGTCTGGGGTTTCAAACTCGGAGCCCACGGTAGGCACCAGCCCCTCGGCTTTCGGGCAGCCCCTCAGGGGAGCACAGGTACCCGGGCACGGCTGGGGCCCAGGAACAGGGCCCGCGGGGAGGGGACGTAAACACTGCGTCACCGCCGACATCTGTTTACAGGTGCTGGGTTTCTGCCAGTTCTGCTACTCCCCGCACCTGAGACAGGGCTGGGGCCCCCATCGAGGGCCCCGGAGGATCTGGGACGAGATTTTTCTAGCTGTGGGACACCCGGAAAGTCACTTATCTCTCTGTGCCTCCATGCCCGCGTCTGCGGAGCGGGGTGGCGAGAGCACCCGCCTTCCTGAGCTGCTGTGAGGGCGGAGGGAAGTAATACAAGTATGTCCTTTAGTGCAGCACCTGGCACCAGGGGTCACTGATGCCGTGTTCGTCATCTGTCATGGGCAGGGCTCCCCAAGGCGCACTCAGGCAGCAACACTCGCGGGCCGCCTACTCGGTATTAGGTGCCGTGTAGGTAACCTGGGACAGAGGCTAGATCAGACACGGCCCGGTCCTCAGGGAGCCCGGAGGCCAGTCAAGGAAAGAACCAGGGGGATCCTTGCCCTGTAGGCACTCAGGAGACTCCAAAGGCCTGGGGCCATTCCGCTTGTCGGTGAGACTCTCAGTTCCCTCAGCTGTGTGGGGACAATAATGCCTGCTTCCCCGTGTCCCCAGGGCTCTTGCTGAGTGCCTGAGGGGGCTTTGTAAAGGGTGTGGTAGTCGGGACGGACGTGTACGAAGATGATGCATCTGTAGTGGGTTCTGAAGTCAGAGGAACTTGGATTTGGATCCCAGCTCTGCCGCTTACCGGCGGTAGAGCCTGGGGCAGCTGCTTCTCTTTCCGGGCCTCGGTTTCCCCCATCGTTCAGTGGGGGCAATGACCGTACCTACTTCTAGTGCTAAGAATTAACTGCAGTAGAGAACGTAACGTGCTTAGCACAGTAGCTGGCACTTAGCACGGGCTTCATCGATGGGAGTGTGTGATGGGGGGGTCAGCCGAGGTCCTTCTCGTTGTGATGTTCTAGGTTCCGGCCCCAGTGAGTCTGCTGCCTCTTGCCAGCCCTGAAGCAGCCCCCAGATGGGGGCACTGGCGGGTGTGGGTGGGTGTGGGGCAGAGGGGACACGGGGAGAGGAGGGCACGGGGGCAGCCCGAGTGACCCGGGGGCCGCTCTGTCTGTGCCAGGGGTCCTAGAGGAAGCTGAGTTCTACAACATCGGCCCGCTGATCCGCATCATCAAAGACCGGATGGAGGAGAAGGACTATCCCGTCACACAGGTCAGGAGCAGCAAGGCAGCAGGGAGCCAGAGCAGGCTGTGGCGGGAGAGCCAGAGCTGGGGGAGGCGGGAGGAGGGTCGGGAGACGTGGGGAGGCCCAGCTGGCCTGTGACGCGAGGGGGTTGTCCAGCTCCCAGACTGCCCAGCAAAGCCCCAGACGGGGAGAAGGACGCTGGGTTCTGTCCCTGACTCGCCTCTGTTCGCGGTATGAATGGGCCCCCCACTGAGACCTGCCCCCTCTTCCCTTCCCCACGGCAAAATGGGGTCAGTGTGGAGGCACAGGGGGCCTTGTGGGGGCAACGCAGGATTAGTAAATTGTCCATTTCGTGACATCAGGCAGACCCCTGGGGGCAGAGCGCGAGGTGCTGGGGCTTAGGCTTCTGAGCGCCCTGGGCCTGGTCTGGAGGCGGGGCTGGGGGGGGCCCCTCTGGCCACCCTGGAGGAGACGCGGGTGGGGGCAGGCGGACGGGCGGCCCCCGGAGATTGAAGGGGGTTAGCTCCGTGGCCTCTCTTCCCCCTCGTACCACCTGTGCTCCTCCTCTGCCACGCTTCGGCTCCGTGACCTTGGGCAAGTCAGAGCCTCTGTGAAGATCCCGTAACTCGTGGCGTGTGGGGAAGGATGAAGTGAGACCGTGCGTGTCGAGGGCTGGGCACACGGGGGGTCCTCAGGACGTGGCTGCCGCCTCCCCACCTTGCACCTGCCCCTCCTTGTCTCCTTAGGGGTGTGCGGTGGGCGGGGGGAGAAGAAGTTGCGGGGGTGACAGGTGCTCGTCCCTCCCCCGGCTGCCCTCCAGGTCACCTCTCTGCCTGCAGGTCCCCCCCAAGCACGTGTACCGCGTGCTGCAGTGCCAGGAGGAGGAGTTGACGCAGATGGTCTCCACCATGTCAGACGGCTGGCGCTTCGAGCAGGTGGGTGGGGGCCACGGGGCCACCCCTGGAACCACCCGGCGCCACGGGGAAGCCCCAGGCTGGGGTTCCCCGGCACAGCCCCCAGCCATCACGCTGAACAAGAGTAGGAAAGGCCACGCTCGGCCGCAGAGTGATCAGAAGGAGAGAGACAGAAGACCCAGGCGGCTTCGGTGGGGGTTCTCCCAGCCCCCGGGGCGTGGTCTCCGCAGGGGCACGGGCAGGTCTCTGGCCCCCAGGCGACAGCTCAGGAGCAAGGGGACTCGATCCCCCGTAGGTGAGCGGACCCCACCTGGGGTCAGCGCCTCTCGTGACAAGGCCCGGCAGCTTCCGGGTCCCTGCCAGGGACCTGCCGAGTCACAGCCTTGCCACACCCGGGAAGCCCAAGCGGTGACTTCCCACGAGGACTCACAGGGACCGATGCAGTCAGGAGCAACTTGTCGTGAGTGGTGCCATCCTGGCCACGCAGCTCACGTCACGCGGCTCAGGTTTCCAGAGGAACAGAGCCAGCAAGTTAACCCCACGTCACATTTGTCCTGCGAGAAGGAAGAGGGTTTGGCTGGCTCTGTAGCCGCACCTGCCCACGGCCCCTGGGACGTGGAGGTTGAAGAAGGGAGAAGGCCAGGGCTCCCCGGATGGCCGGGCGGTACGGAGGAATAGCTCCGTCCAGGAGCCAGAGGCCTGGATCTGCCACTTGCAGGCCATGTGACCCTGAGCGAGTCACATCTCCTCTCTGGGCCTCAGTTTCCCAATCTGTGGCGTGGGCCAGTCGTGCTCCCTTTGCAAGACTGTTGGGAAGATTAGAAGTGCCGTGGACAGGGGCGCCTGGGGGGCTCCGTCGGTTGAGCGACCGACCTCGGCTCAGGTCACGATCTCGCGGTTCGTGAGTTCGAGCCCCGCGTCGGGCTCTGTGCGGACAGCTCGGAGCCTGGAGCCTGCTTCCAGATTCTGTGCCTTCCTCTCTCTCTCTCTGTCTCTCCCCTGCTTGCACTCTGTCTCTGTCTCTCAAAAATAAACATTGAAAAAGAAAAAAAAGAAGTGCCATGGGTAAAGTCCCTGGCCTAGAGTAGAGCTCCCTGGAGCCAGGCAGGATCACACAGATTATCAGCAGGATCACACAGATTATCAGATTATAAGACTCCAGCGAGGACTCAGGATCCCGGGGTCTAACCCCTGTTTCACTCTTCCTGGCTGGGGGACTTCCTACAGGTTACTGTCTCTTCAAGCCCCGTGTGCCAGAGGGGCTGATTTTCACTCTGCCTGTTGGGCGAGGGTCCTGGGGGGCCGAATGTCCTGCGCAGGGCCTCGTGGTTGTGGTTCTTCCAAGGACCCCGGGACAAAGGTGGGGCTCCGTGGAGCCCACGGGAGCCTCTGGCAATCGCATGGGCTCCCAGAGGCTGAGCAGGCAGCTCAGGGGGCACCGATTGTTTGCCCTCCGGCCTAAGGAGGGGACAGCCCGTTCCACCTCTGCTTCTGAGAATGAACAGAATAGTCTGTGGGGCCCCACCATGCCAACCCTACCCTACAGCTTGGTTCTGGGGCTGCTTCAGCCACGCCTGGGACGGAGGTGGACGATGATCCGCCCATCGTGGCCTCCGCCTGCTTTTAAGCAGCGGCTTCTAGATCTGGGGCTGGGGTGAGGGGTGGGGAACCGCAGAGAGAAGGCGGCGTCCTCCAGGGGTCAGGCCCCGCCCCGCCAAGCCAGGGCGGGTGGCTGTGCGGGCTGCCTTTAACCCGGCCTCCCAACCTGTCCTCTTTGTCCCCACGCTCCGCCCCCCAGCTGGTGAACATCGGCTCCTCCTACAACTATGGCAACGAGGACCAGGCTGAGTTCCTGTGCGTGGTGTCCAAGGAGCTCTACACCTCCCCGCACGGGCTGAGCTCTGAGTCCAGCCGCAAAACCAAGGTGA